AAGGATATCTACTCGATATAAAGCAATATTTATTAATACTTATTTTGACTCAAACTCTTAACTAAATGAATATAGAAAAAATATGCCGGTTTAAGAAAGTTTTAGATAGATATTTGCAATCATCCAGAACAAAAAGTTTTATCAAAATTAAACTTTTTTAGGTTTATTGGACGTTTTCAAAAAACTGCAAAAAAAATCATTTCTGACACCCCTAGGCTTAGTACGTCAATATAATTCACCAAAACCATACTGCAGTCCTTCAATTATCATACAGGGAAATTTTCATCTTTCTAAACATCCCAACGAATGATTTGACAGGTTCTTTGCAGTTTAAAATTTTTATATTTCATGAAAAAATAATAGGTCAAACAATCATCACAGTTAATTTAAATGATCAACAAATATTTCAAAAATGACTTATATAGTTCAAATGAGCAAAAAAAGTTCAAATGCGCAAAAAAAATTCAAAAATGACTTATATAGTTCAAATGAGCAAAAAAAGTTCAAATGCGCAAAAAAAAATTGTTCAAATGAGCAAAAAAAATAGTTCAAATGAGCAAACAATAGTTCAAATGAGCAAAAAATAGTTCAAATGAGCAAAAAATAGTTCAAATGAGCAAAAAATAGTTCAAATGAGCAAAAAAATAGATCAAATGAGCAAAAAAAATAGATCAAATGAGCAAAAAAATGTTGTGACAGAGTATTACCCATCCCTGACTTTCCATTAGATTGAAGTGAATGTTGTGTTTTATTTTCTAATAGCTAAAGTACCTGCAGCGTTGCCCGTGGATATTTTAAAAAATTGAATTTTGATCAAAAACATTTAAATTTTTAAGAACATTTTTCGAATTATTAGAAGTGCCCAGCGGCCGGTATTGCCTGTGAAATAAAAAAAAATTTCGAATTTAGAACTAAAATTTCATTTTTTACGTTACCCCATTGTATTCCCTCAAAAAAGTTAAACCCATTCGGGTTAGCCCTTTGGCCAGATATAGCTAACAAATAAACATGCAAATATATATTTTAGCCAAGAGTTTTATTATACAGATCTCTTATACCTCTTCATGTCCTTTATGTCTCTGCTCTGACTGCTGTAGTTCTTGTGCTTGCTTTAATTCAGCTTTTGTCATATAATCACTTTCATATCTTTCCTGAACAAATAGTTTAATTATCAACTAGCTGGGCAAAATTATGTGACTGGAAAATTAACGTGAAATTTTGTTAACCAAGGTAAATTTCCAATCAATTTCTATTAGTTCACTGAGGAAGGCGTGGCTGCTCTCAGGGTTTTGGAATTGCTCCCAGGGTTTTGGAGTGCTCCCAGGGGTTTGGAGTAAAACGTGAAAATTTATCCGATCTTTCCAATCAATTTTTATTAGTTCACTAAACAATCTTTATAAAAAAAAACAACGAAAAGTTTAAAAAATTCGGATTTTAAAATTTCTCAGCTGCCAGTAAATCAATATAATCTGAAGAAGCACAAGCAACCTCCACTAAAGTCTGAAGATCATCAAAAATTTTTACAAGAATTCTGCATACATACAGGGTAAGTAAAAAACAGGGACAATCAATGTTTTAGACAAAAATTCCTATGTTTTGTTTAGATTTTAGGCATAAAAAAATATTTTTGGAACATTACAAAAATCCTCGAAAACAATTTTTTTTTGAAAAAATTAAATTTTTTAAAATATTGTTGGGATGCTTACTCTATTGTTTTTCGAAAATTTGATAAAATTTCATTTAAAATTCATTAAAAAATTCGCAAAAATTTCGAGTAGTTCTTACTTAAAAAATACAAATAATATAGGCTGACATTTTTGTTGTATCTCACTCAATTTTGTATTAATATTTATGAAATTTTGGAAACAATAGAATAAACATTTACCCAACAATTTTTAAGAAACATTATTTTTTTATAATTTGGTTTCGCGGGGGTTTTTTTATGTTCCAAAAATATTCAATTTTTTTATCACATTTCATAACATTTACGAACAAACCAAACATTTTAAAAATATTGTCCAACACGATAATTCCTTTTTTTCCTCACCCTCTGTATAAATTTATTCATAAAAATATATTGACGAGGGAGGATTAAAAGACCAATTGTCACATATCATTTAAAACTATCCTTGATGAACAATTTAACGAAACTTAATTAAATCACCTCTGTCAGAAATAATGTGGATAACAAACGATAGAACATATTCTCAAGAGTTGTATAGTATTAAGTGTTCCTTGTTTTAGATCGAAAATATGAACTTTATTCCAATTTTCTTAATTCGTTATAAATGGGAGGTTTAGATCAACAATGTAGAACTATGCGCATTGAAAATATAAAAAAGAACATACATATACTATATAGGGCTACACAAAGTATGATTAAGCTAGTAAAAAAAGGCAACGGCCAGAGGCCAAATTTAAAGAATTTGAGCCACCACTTAAATTTGAGACGCGGCTCAAATATGGTTGATTCCACTTAAACTTGTATTCAATGTTTCAAGATTTAAGCCGGCGCTGCGGCGAAGACGACCTAAAACTACAACCTGAAAGGAAGATGAGGGTGGTTTCAGCTGTTGCGACCCACGTGTCAATTGTCCACGTGTTAACTGCATGCGGGAACCTGCTGGGGGAGGTGTGGAGACTAGCGTTGCTTTTGGTATATTGTACCCGCTTCCCTATAGAAGAGTTATAAGTAGAATATATGGGCATTGTTTTGAGGTCTGTGTTGAAACATTCAAAGTATTTTGACTTTAAAAGTGCTCCCCAAGAATTTAAGATGATTATAATGTCTTAGAGTTTTATGCTCGTATAAATTTTTTACTAAGCAAAATACTTCTTAAAAAATATTTTCAATTTTGTTTTTATTTAAGTTGAAAAAAAACTTCAAGAAATATTCTAAATCATTTTCAGGAAATCTAGAAGAAATTGAAATTTTTCAGCACTGTGCTATAATATACAGCTAATTAAGCATGATGATTAATACTTTACAGTAGGTTTTTAATGAAATTCACCATAAAGTGACCACGAGTAATAAAGTACACAATAATAATTTATAAACAGTAAAAATAATTTTATTTACCATAAAGCTATTTCTGATTCCATCAGCTGCATTTAAGGATGTTGGTTTGTGCGGACTACGGAGCCCAGATTTGTTGAGTGTCGCATAGCTTGGATCCATCCGAAACGGGATCTGAAATAATTCTTAATAATTTAGATTTTTGTAAAAGGTTTTCGAAAGAAATTGAGTCTTTGCCACAAACTCTAATGTCGTAGATCTGATTTAATTCAAACTATGAATTCTATTAGATTAAATAATCTAAGTTTAAAATATTAGAGGTTTACACCATCATCAAGTTGAAAAAACACAGGGATTACAAATCAGACTTTGTGACAAAAACTCAATTCCTTTGTGTTGGTAACTAGAGATGAGCATCGTTTTTTATGAACAAACAAAATTGTTGAGAACGAAAGAAATTTTTCTTGTATCATTGTGTTGCTCAGAAAAAAATGATTAACTTGGATCATTCAGAGAAATGAAAAAAAATATTCTTTAAAAAACGAATGAAAAAAACAAACACTAACAATTCAAAATCATTTGAACAAACTTGAAAAACTTTTTTTTACGAACTTAAGAATTTTCAAAATATAAAAAAATGTTGGTTTTCATTTACTAACTTTTAATAAATTATTGTTTTTTTTCTATTCAAACGTTTTTCTAACATTGAACGAACGATTTTCCTGAATGTTCAATAAGTGAGAAAATGAACAAAATAAATGAAAAATGAATAAAATGAAAACAAACCAAATCAATTGTTTTCTAGACGATTGAAAATAAACGAATAAAATGGGTCGTTCACAAACGATGAACGACCAACATGAAAAAAGTGGAAAACGCCCATCCTTAATGAACAGTGAACACCCCCTACTTTTAGATGATAAAATCTCTGACCTGGGTAAGATGAGACAAGTTTCTAGGAGTTGACGGTTGTTTAGCGTGAAGTGCATTAGTGTTTTCATAGATAGGTGGATGCCCGTGCACTTTTCAAAATAATTTTTTTATTTTATAGATTTTGATGTTTAAGTTTCCGAAAATGTGTGTTAATACAAAATTAGATAAATAAAATCAAAACGTTGTTAATTCAATATTTACTTAAATTTTATTAAAATAATAAAATTATTTTCCCTGCTCTAGGTATTTGGGCTTGAAATGGTGTAGAGTGTTGAAAAGACGGCTTAGCTTCCATGCTAAAATTGGGCTTTGGAGGAAATTCATTTAGATGATTCGAGGGAAATGCATTCAGAGGATAATTGAAGTCCATGTAGGGGGGCTTCTTTCGTCTCAGCTGTTCCCTGTATCTAGGTCAGTTCACTGTTAGAAGAAAAACCTAACTTTTTTTTTCGTAATATCAAACTTCCCAGAAGCATTTTGAAAATGTAAACATTTTATTCAAAATTATGAACATTTTGTTCAAAAATAATGAACATTTTGCTCAAAGAAATGAACCTTTTGCTCATCATTATGTACATTTTATCAAAATAATAAAAATTTGGGATATCTCTCAAATTCTTACACCCCTAACATTAAAATCCATTACAAAAAGTTCATAAATCCTAACAAAAAGTTTATAATTCCTTACAAAAAGTTCATATTTACAACAAAACGTTCATAATTTCTAACAAAAACTTCATAACTCCTAACAAACAGTTCATAATTTATAATAAAAAGTTCATAATTTCAAAAAAAAAATTATAATTTCTAACAAAACGTTTATAATTCATAACAAAAAGTGTATAACTCCTAACAAAAAGTTTATACTTCCTTGCAAAAAGTTCATTATTCATAACAAAAAGTTCATAATTCATAGCATAAAGGTCATAATTCATGACTAAACGTTTATAATTCCTAGTAAAAAGTTCATAATTCATAAACAAAAGTTAATAACTCATATCAAAAAGTTCATAATTCATAACAAATTGTTCATAATTCTTTTCAAAAATTATATGGTAGGCCCAGGGTTACCGAAAAAAGTCTCATGGGACTGTGGTCGATATACCCAGGGACCCAATTCGGTTAAAGCAGTGAAATAATCAGAAGATAAAGCATGAGACATGTTATACACTCTTCATTATACAAAGATTTAATGGGTACCGTTGTCAAACTACAAGGTCGTCCTTAAATTATCATCCTTTGTGGGCAACCCTGTATTTGAAAACATTAACAAAAAATAAATACTAAGATCAAAGATGTTTAAAATGGATTTTTTTCTTGAATTTCACATTTACTAAATTTACCTTCGGGACAGTTTTTGGTGAATATTGATACGCAGGAGGAGACCGAAGACGACAACTATGAGAAGGAGAAGGAACAATGCCGCGCCACCAATTCCATAGACAAATGGCGGAACCATCCCATTGTCGAAATATCCAGTTGAATTTCCTTGAAATAAACCTAATTTAAAGATTTCTAACATTCTCTTAAAAGTAATGCTTTCAGTAAAAGATTAAGCTTTGGATTTAATCCAGTTTTTGTCTTTAAGGCACAGAACTCACGCAGACGTACTTGATAGAGCGTCATCTTAAAACATGTTCAATGCTGACAATTTTCTTTATTGTCTCTGAAGCATAAATTTAAGATAGAAACGACAATCAGTTAAAATAATCAGTTTCTAGATCGGAAAATAAAGAAAGGATTAAAGTGTACAAAGACATGCCACACTACAAAAGTAAAATTTAACTGTCCCTTTAAGAAAGATAAAAAACAAAAATTTAAAATTTAGAATTAAATTCAAAAATTTAAAAATTTAGTAAAAAACGAATATACAAAAAGTAAAGTAAATATTTTTTAAATTAGTCTCGAACATGAAGTTTAATTTTTTATTATCATTATAAATTTTGCAATGTGGTCTGAAAATAAAAATATACCTTCTCCATTTCCATTCCCTTTGCCAAGCAGAGGAAACTAAATAAAAAGGATTAAACTGTTCTTTTTTTTGTCCAATGACTAATGGCTACCATGGCGCTTGGCACATTTAACAATTAGAATATTTTTTTAAGTATTACTGGAAAATCTCGTAGGTTTCCCAATAATTTTCCTAAAGAAGTGAGGGGACTCGCAAAAAATCCTATATCTTTGCAATTTCATCATTGATGTCGTAGACCTTAATTATTTTTCAAATCATAAATTGTTGCGGATATGTTCAATTCAATAATTGGTATTAAGAAATAATTTGAGCAGAATAAAAAACCTTCCTCAGTTTGTTGCATGGTTGAACTGACCGTGTGAGGAGTGGTTCCAACTATAGCGGGGGGTCGGGTGTAGAATGTTGGGAAAAAATCGGAAAACTTTGGATTTGGAGTTGTTGCAGTCCTTTTTTTACTTGTAGACTCAGTTAATAGAGTCGTAGGAACTAATGTAGTAAGGTCTGAAGGATCCAGAGTTGAAATATCTAATGGGGTTGGAGTTGTGGTAATGTTAAGGGATGGATTTGGAGGTATGGTAATGTTAAGGGATGGATTTGGAGTTGTGGTAATGTTGAGAGAAAGGTTTGGAGTTGTGGTAATGTTAAGGGAGGAATTTGGAGTTGTGGTAATGTTAAGGGATGGATTTGGAGTTGTGGTAACGTTGAGGGAAGAATTTGGAGTTGTGGTAATGTTGGGAGAAAGAGTGAAAGTGGAGTTCAGAACTGATGTCACTTCTTGAGAAATAATGGTGGTCATCTTAGTAGTTGTATCGATAACTGAAATATTTAAATATTGGGTTAGAAGTCGTCTTCACAGACCGAGCTAGTGCAGAAAGTCCCATAAAGCTAGTGACATAGATAGCGTAAGAAATAAAAATGTCTCAAACATTTCTTTCATTTTTAGCATTTTGTTATTTTCCTAAAGAGTTTGTGGGATGGAAACTTTAATACTTCGTCTGTGCAAATATTAAAAGATATCTTTGGTTTTCTATTTGAAAATTAATAATTCTCAAAAATGGGTTCTTTAAAAACAGAGATTCTTTTTGACATTAAAGGGGTATATGCTGAAAACTAATTTACTTAGGAGTTGATTGAAACCCTTGCCAGTTCTATCTGATGTTCCTGTCTTGAGAAATTGATATAAAACTGTGTCAAATTTATGCCAAAATTGTGTATAGAAATAGTAGGTTTAATCATATGTAGCAAATACGCAACCAATCTGAAAACAACTATATACCAGAGGAGCCTAAGTAACTTAGGTTTGCTCCTATCATTATTTGAATTTAATAATTTTTTCATTTTTGATAGATTTAATTGATTAATAATTATTATATTGTAATTTGATTCTCTATGAAAGTTAAGAATGCTCAAGAAATATGAGGAAAATCCGGGAAAAGGAAAATTGTACATCATATCAATTATGTCTATTAAAATTGAAAAATAAAAATTGTAAAATTATAAAAAGAGTTACGTAGGCTCCTCTGGGAAATCGTCGTTTTCAGATTGGCTGCTTATTGGCTAAAATGATCTGTTAAATCCTATTATTTTTATACAAAATTCGGGATATACTGATTTTGGTATAAATATGGCACAGTTTTCTTTATCAATTTCTCGAGACAGGAACATCAGATAATTGTTTTATATGTATCGTTCAACGCCCCCGAGATTCTCAGGTTTCAGCCTATATCCCCTTTAATTTTTCCTTTAAAGTCCATTTAAGTCAACACTCCATACAACCGTGGTATATGAAGACGACTGTTATACACAAGTTATAATTATATGTAGTTCATTGAACATGAAACATAGCAATTGTGCAGTGTACACAGAGTCATTTCAGAAATAAGATTACTTCCCAGTGGTAAGCTATTTGCTTGAACAACATAAAATACAGATAAGATTGCTGAAAAGAACCGTAAGCATAATTTCAAGTAACCATCCATTGATATATGGGCATGTCCGACTCACAGCGATATCCTGAAAATCATTGTCAAATCAAACATGATTTATATAACCATGTATTTTTTTTTTTTTTTTAAGCCTGTTTGCTTTCATTTCTGATTTCTCTGCAAAACTGACTTAAGCATTTCTTTCTTTAGAAACAATGGAAAAATTATCAGAAATAAGCACTTTTAAAGCGACGTTATTCCCCACTTATTGATTAGATTGAGGTTTCAAGAGAGACTCGGACCACGCTTTTAAATGGTGGGTCATTTAAAATTACGACATGCGGTCCCTTTACATGGCGCCGTTCTATTTCACGCTTACATGGCTCCCACTTTATGTTCTATGTTTAAAATCTATGTTTAAAAACGAACAATACCTTGCAAGGTGGTCATTTTATCTCTGAAAACAAATTGAATAATTTAAATAATTTATTAATATTTTTTTCGTATTTTGTACAGATACAAAAATATATCTTATAAAGAAAAGAATATGTCCGATTAATGAGAAACGTTTTGTCTATTACAGGGTTATCTATATTAATAAAGTTGTAATCTCTGTTTGTCCGTTCATAACTCAGGAACACTTCGACCGATTTTGTCTCAAACTTTGGTGGGTGAAATCGGAAGAGCCAAGAGAATTTTCTTAACTTGACTTTAACCCTATTCCTACTGGGGGAGGGGAGGGCAGTTTGACCCCCCTCCCCCTGTAGTTTTTTTTTCATAACTCAAAAAGTCTGAGTCTCTTAAAATTTTCCTAAATACCCATAGACCTCCCTATAGGACTAAAACGGGGCTATTATCCTAACTTTCTGAGACCTCAGGCACACTGCCTAATTTTATAGCTTGACATCTTGGATTTAGAAGGCTTTCTCGAAGATGTTAATTTATTATGGCATTATTTACGCCTATAATATGACATAATATCACTGTATTCTCGGTACACTAAACCCAATCACTGGCCGTCGATCAATCCAGTTGAAAATATTCATGAGCTAGATAAATTTGCTTACAATGGATTATTGTTTAAACCTCACTTCGATTATTCTTCTTAATTCTGACTCAACTTTACCCTACTTTACTTAATAAGCATGGGCGTATATATAAAAAATTATTTTTAAAAAATATTAATGATAAAAATATTTCATAATTTTGAATATAAAATATTTTGAATATAAAATATCTCTGATGCACCCTTCTCCCATTCTGAGCCTTCCCCCCCCTTACCTCCCCCTAGAAAGCTCTTATGCCATATATTGTAATCATTTTGATATAGAGAATTTACAGGCATCGACAATTTTATGTATTTTTTATTTAATTTTAAGTATTATTATATTGATGACTGGTCAATACTATTCAACACATAAATGACATGGCATTACTTTACTTAAAAACAAATCATGAACTTTAATATTCTTTTTTCAAAAGCCGGACGACCAGAGAAACTGCACATTTTACATGTGGTGTTCCACGAAACATGCCAGTTGGTAAATAGTTATAAATGTCTTCTTTCATTATTTGTTAAGTTGTTTGATACCAAAGAGAATAATAAAAAATATTATATGGCATTCAAAAAATAGTAAATTTTGATTTCAAAGTAAAACATTTTTGGGTGAAAAATTGTGTTAGCGAAATAAACTGCGAAAAGTCTTTAATATAGAATACAGTATATGGAAGAAGACATTCAAAACTAGATAATGAATTATAAAGAAGGACTATAGATAATGAATTATAAAGAAGGACTAGATAATGAATTATAAAAAAGGACTATAGATAATGAATTATAAAGAAGGACTATAGATAATGAATTATAAAAAAGGACTAGATAATGAATTATAAAAAATGACTATAGATAATGAATTATAAAGGACTAGATAATGAATTATAAAGAAGGAATATAGATAATGAATTATAAAAAAGGACTATAGATACTGAATTATAAAGAANGATTGCTGTGGCTGTATGGAGAGATCAACAGAAAACCTGGTCGGTACAGTACAAATTTCACCCCTTACCCCAGCTGTGAGGGATCAACAGGCGGGAGTGATCGCAGCCCTACCAGTGCAGCCAGGACGTGCCAGTACGGCAGCGGTGCAGAGCAATCTTATATCTCTCCAGCTATCGGTCAGTCAACAAGGAACACAAGGAGGCGTAACAGGTCATGGAGTGGCTCTCTGTTTCATACAGGTTTAATGCTTTTGTTCATGTTCATCTCTATCACAGCTACAGAGGGGTTTAAGGATTGGAGCGAAATAACTCCTCAGATGTATACACCCGACTGCAACCCCCATCCACAGATGCCTATCTACATGATGTCAGGAAAGTTGCTGTTTCCTTCCTGTGCAATAGAGTGGAACTTAATCAGAGACCAAAGAGTCTGCAATATAAGGAAGGGATATGTTCACAAGGCCAGAGATACAAATCGAGTGGGAGTCTGTCTTCAGGGAAAGTTATCAATACTAGAGGATCTACACCAAGGAGTCTGTAATATCATGGAGAGATATGTTCGCCAGGTCCTCGATGCAAATCTAGCTGTAGTCTGCCTTCAGGGAAAGTTGGCAATACTAGAGGATCTACACCACCAGCCCAACGTGAGAGGGCTAAGAGCTAGATGTGCCCACCAACAACAGCCTGGGGTTAAAGGTTACGATGTTGCGCTGCAACTCCTTGATGTTATTAAGTCCGTACCCGGAGCTGGATATGTTCGTAGAGATAAACCAGGGATTATAGATTACGATGTTGCTCATCGGCTTGTTGATATCTCCAATGCTGCTGTTTTAGAGCCAGGGTAGTTCAAGGTTAGACCCGGGGCTGAGCCAAATTCATCTGTCCATCTATATCTACCACTACATCTACATCTACATCTACATGGAGATCTATTATGTCGAGATATTGTTAGCCAACAAACCATAACTCTCAACACCGTTCCCCTGGGGATTTGTAATATTTTCTGTTGTTATGCTATCACGATCCTTATGATCTATGTTAGTAATATATCTTATCTATTTAAATGTTGACCCTGACTGGCCATTACGGTCAGTTGGATTTTACCTGTATATAAAATAAATTAGTAATAGATTAACCTTTGTGTTATACGGACGAATACAGAGCCTTGAGTTTTGGCTAGAGATTGAGAGCCTTGAGTTTTGGCTAGAGATAGAGTCAGTGAGACTAGAATTAGACTTTGATTAGAGTAATCTCGGGACCTAGATTTATTACAAAAGTCGTGGCAGCGGTGGGATAACCTAAGACCCAGATCTAGATGCTGAGACTCCAAAAGTATTCCGGAAAAAGAGTAAAGTGAAAACCTGGTTGAACGGACTAGCCAGAGAAGTTTTAACAGGCGAGGATTTGCCTGTGCGTTGATCAAGTGTGGCTACAGGAAATACAGTGGCTACTTTTCAAGGGTATCCAAGTTTACCCAGTGACGATTCTGGATCGGAAGTAGAGATGGAGGGACCATCTCATCCAGCCATAGATGGCATGGCGGAGATAAGACAGCAGTTTCAGATGCTCCAAGCCCAGCTGACGGAGACTAAGGAGAAATTGGCGGAACAGAAAGATAAGGAGAAATCATTCGCCCAGACATGGCAAGAGTCAGCTACACCAGAGACACAGGATCCTATCGGAAGAGTAGTTGCAATACTAGACCGCCCTAAGGTGGAAGATGCTCAAGAAGTTTACGTATCCTATCAGAAGGTGGAGAAGGCAGCTGGCAGAGGAGATAGGCAGACGTTAAGAGATCTGAGCAGGGCGGAGGCGGAGTATAAGAAGAGACTGTTGGATTTTAGCTGCAGAGCCCCAACCTACGATGGTAACCCTAGTAAAGTGTTTGACTGGTGTGGTGAATTAGAGAAACATTTGTCAAGATTTGAATGTGAAACGATACCTAATGAGGCCATCAAAAAGATGCTGCTAGACTGTATCACAGGAAAAGCACAGTCCGAGATAGTATTGTTGAAACCTGATGGACTAGCTTTCGACAATTACGAAATTGGTGATTTCTTCCAAGAGTTATTAAAGAAGTTCACTCACGAGAAGGATGAGGAGGGCAGGAAGATGGAATATTTGCAAAGGAGACAGGCAAGAAATGAAGATGCTCGTCAGTATTACTGGACAAGCTACGGTTATTCATGCAAGCCTACCCCCCAGCCAGGAGGAGTTTAGTCGAGTTCAAGACTAATATGGTGGTAGGATTATACAACGCTGAACTGAGGAAAACTTGCTTGATGTTTATGCCTAAAGATATTAAGCATGAACTGGAGATTAAAGCAGTTCTGGACCACCAACTAGTAAACCTGAGGACTTATAATATGGACCCCAGGGCCCCAGCTCAGGATATGGCAGGCTTACAGAGCACCTATGGGTATGATAGGAGCGAGATAAACAAGGCCAACGAGGTGTTGAAGACGGGGCAGGTGCCCATGGACATCAACGCCATGCCAGGACTGGTGGAGGACGTGTCAGATGCTGAAGAATTGGATGCTGAGAGCGGGATAAATGCCCTGCAGGGCAGAGATGTGTGCTATTTTTGCAAGAAACTTTGTCACCAGAAGAGGAATTGCAGGAAGTTTGATGAATGGAAGAGGAAGAATCCTAACAGGAAGTACGGAAGTGACACTCATAAGGCTAATTCCCGCCCCTCAAATTCATGTTACAACTGTGGGAAAGAGGGTCATATTTCACAGGAATGTAGAGGAGAACGGAGAAACCAGGGAAGGAGAGAGAATGGCGGATATGGAGGCGGACAAACGGCGGATATGGCCAAATCTTTGGCAGCAGTGCAGGAAGTTCTGAAGAAACTGGTTCCAGAGGTGGTTTTTCCCTAGGGAGTTGCAATGACGGACAGTCGTCAGCTCCTAGGATTGCAGAAAATAATGATTTGAATATAGTTAATAATCGTTTAATAAACATTTCTGTTAATCCAAATGTCCATGAATCTTGTGAATTAGTACCGGAAGTGAGAGAGGATAAAGTTAGAACGGAAGTCATAGATAATATAGACAATGTTAAGAAGGTATCTAATGATTTTAACCCGGAAGTGAGAGGTAGTTTGAGACCTAACGGACATAAAGATCTTGAACTAAGAGAATGGGAGAGGAATATTCTCATGCATCTGAACAATGTTAATTTAGTCGAGAAAGACGACCGTAAAACCTCATATGTGAAATTCAAGTTATTTAAACTAGATATATACGGGTTAGCCTTAGTAGACACAGGCAATTTAGTGAAAGGTACTTTAGTGTCAAGTGAATTCTGGAAGACGATAGGGGGGGAAATGCTAGAGGAAAGTAACACTAGCGTGCATACAGCGGAGAAAGGTGAGAAAGGATTGAGAGTATTAGGGAAAGGCGAAAGAATTAAGTTTTACTTGGATGGCCTGGATCGTAGATTTGAAGTAGAACTGATTGTGATAGAAGGCCTGAATCATGCAGTGAATTTTGGTATAGAGTTTTTTTGACAGCAGGAAGTGTCAATATCCTGTACGGAGAAGGAAGTGAAACTAGTTACCGGAAGTAAGGGTCAGGAAAGGTTAACAAGACTGTGCAGTGCTTATGGGAAACCTTTCCCTTTCATGAGTAAGGGCAGAAGAGTGGATAAGGAAGCCAAGAATTATGTACAAGTACTTCCGTCTGTGTGGAAAGCAGAGAGAAGGGAACGGGAAGTAAACAACATTAGTCCAGTGGAGGAAGTATTAGAGAGGAAGTTATGGTCTGCTGAGAAGATAAGTATCCCTGCTGGAAGTGCAAAATTAGTCAAGGTGAGAACAGAAGGTAATTGTAAGGGTGCTGGGGTTGTAGAATCGTTGCCTTTAGAAGATCAAGAAAAGGGGAGAAAAGTCCTACTTCCGGAAAATGCATATGACCTGTCAGAAAGTGTGCAAGCAGTGTATGTGGAGAACCATGCAGAGGAGTGTGTAGAGTTGTGTGCGGGCCAGAAGCTGGGAACAATACATAGTATGTGCATAGATAAACAGGCCTGGATTAAGGAGGAGTTAAGGGGAAGTACGGCACAGGATTTAGACGAAGAGGAAGTGTGTAACTCGCAGGAATCCATCAATTCATTGCAAGAATCCGATTTTCCAACAGAAGAGAGTAGAAGGAAGTTTATCAAAGATAGTTTCAAGATAGATGAGAATGAGATTCTGAACAGAGATGCAAAGCTGAAAGAGGAAGTGATCAAACTTTTCTTGGAAAACTTTTCTACCTTCACCCTAATCATTATGTCAAAACAGATTTACTGGAGCTGCGGATAGAATTACAACCAGGGGCAGTACCTAAGAGATCTAAGGTGAGGCCATTGAACCCTGACCAGCATGCTAACTTGAAGGAACAATTGGATGAGTGGATCCAACAGGGGGTTATAGAACCTGCAAATAGTCCCTGGGCATCGCCACTAGTTCCTGTGAAGAAAAAGGATGGGAGAACGAGACTGACCTGAGGCAGCTTAATGACGTCACGATCAAGGATGCTTATCCCCTGACAAATATACAGGAAAATCTACAAAAGTTGAAGGGTGCAAAAATCTTCACTTCAATCTCCGCCTGTGGGGCATATCACGCTATACAGATAGAAGAGGGGAGCAGAGATTGTACAGCTTTTATTAGTCCTTTTGGTACATTTAGTTACATAAGGATGCCCTTTGGACTGTCAAACGCGGGAAGCGTTTACAGCCAGATGTTGGACCTGGCCCTGGCACACTTACCTGTGGAGTACTGGTTATCATATTTAAACAACATCCTGGTGTATTCCATGGACCACTTGAAGCATCTGAAGAGTATTGTGGAGGCTCATACGAAGGCAGGGATCAAGATTCAACCTAAGAAGACCAAGATATTTCAGACAGAAACCGAATATTTGGGGCATAAAGTGAGTCAAGGCAGAGTACAGATGTTGGATCAATATGTGAAAGATATACAGAGCTGGCCACGTCCCACTTGTTGCAAGGAAATGTCGTCATTCCTGGGATTCACAGGTTATTACAGAGGTTTTATTCCCAGGTACTCGGCTTTGATCAACAAGATGAACAGTCTTAAGAAGGCGGAGAAATTTGTCTGGACATAAGATATGGAGAAGGATTTTTTGGAGTTTAAGGCGGAGTTTTCAGCAGGGGGGATACAAGCTTACCCAGATTTTGATTCAGATGAACCTTTTATTCTCACTACGGACTGGTCGTCTCTAAATATTGCAGGAGTTCTGTCTCAGAAACAAGATGGAGTTGAGAGGTTTCTGGGCTGTGGGGGGCGGAAATATAATCGTTACGAAAGACACTATTCCAGCGCCAAGGGCGAACTCCTTGCCCTGGTAAAGTGCATGAAGAAGTGGGAACTTATTTTGAAGTACCAGCCCCCCTTCCTAGTCTACACAGATGCTGCTAGTTTGAAGTTTATCGTGAACCTGAAATCAGAAGAAACTATTTTTCAACATTGGTATGCAGAACTGGCTCAATTCGAGTTCATTGTGATACATAAGAAAGGAAGTGAAAATGTTAATGCAGATGCCTTGTCCAGAGCCAAACATTTAGATGAGCCAACTGCAGAAGAAAACGAAGAATATCAAGAAGCAAACGAAGTGGGAGAGATGAAGATTACTTTTGCATCGGAACTGGAGGGTAACCCGTTGGAAATAGGAAGAGAGAGGCGGAAGTTTGCCGGATAACCGCCTACTATTCACAACCTGAGTAACGAGACAAGATTCAAAATAATAGAGGGAAACAAACTGAGGAAGTTACAGTAAGAGGATGAAGTCTGGAAGGAAGTGATTAAGTGGATAGTGGATGGTAAAGTACCCAAGATGCAGGAAGTAAGGGGAGGAGTACAGGAAGTGATATCAGTGAGGCAGATATTCAATCCTACCTTGTTTGTGCTGCATAATGGAATCTTATGTTATAACCGTCACACAGATCCAGCCAAGCCATATGATGCATTACATGTTTGTGTACAAACAGTGAAGTTAGAGGAAGTGTTCAAGATTTGTCACAAGGGCGTGGCATGGGGACATAGAGGCGTGGCCGGTACGTTGGACAAGTTTCAGCGAACATTCTTTGCAATGTCTGCACGTGAGAAAATCCGTAGGCTGGTAGATCGGTGTAACACCTGTTTAGCTAAGGAAAGGAGTATTCAAGCCAAGAGAGGGCCTCATGTGCCTAGAACAGTGGGAAATGTTGGAGAGAAAGTATTCATAGATTTAGTTTCAATGTCGGAGACTGTGAGAAAGAATCGTTATATGCTGACAGTACAGGATGGATTTACAAGATTTGCTAGTGCATATCCTATTTGTAATAAGGAGGCAGGCACTGTGGCTAGAGTATTGATACGTGAACATTTCAGCGTTTTTGGTCTGCCTAACCAAATTCACTCCGACAACGGAGCCGAATTTGTGAACAAGTTATGGGTTGAACTATTTAGTGAATTAAAGATTTTGCATACAAGAACCCCCCTTATAACCCCTCCTCTAACATCATGGAACGATGGCATAGAACAATAGTGAGTATTCTGAGGACTATGGGCATGGAGATGCAAAACGAATGGGACCTAGGTGTAAAAGCGGCTTGTCTGGCCTATAACACTACGGTGCATAATAGTACAGGCCAGACATCGTTCTTTGCAACCTTTGGAAGGGAAGCCATAGTTCCCATCCATTGGGTTTACCCAATACCCAAACCAGATGCAGAGAAGGATGTAACTGCCTGGACGGAGACTATACAAGAGAGATTTCAAACTGCTTATGCGGGAATGAGAGATAAACAAAAGCAGACAATACGAAGGAACGTGCAGTATTATAAGCCAATCCTGAAGCAGTTCAACATAGGCCAATGGGTATGGATCTTTGACCCTAGAATAATTCCAGGCAGTTGTGATAGACTCAGGTTATACTGGGCGGGGCCCTACAAGATTATATGGTTGATGGCCCCAGTGTTGGCGGAGGTTATTGCAGTGTTTGAACAAGGTAAACCAAGGATAGTTAGCTTGGACATTCTTAAGGAATTTCGAGGGGAGAACAATGGACACAGCTTACCCAGTGACCCCCCACACCCCTCGTTTCAAGGAGGGGATGAGATTACAGAAATTCCGAGCTGGAGTTAGAGAGACCGATAACAGAAGAGATTAAGGGACAAGAGAGACAGCTGGTCAGAAGAGAACGAGACCCAGGTGACAGGAGAGATACAGCTGGTCAGACTGAACCACAGGGGATTAGACAGACCGACCGAAAGACCCAGATAACATCCAGCTGTGAAGAGGGAGGGAGGGGAACCCACCCCACTCTAGATTTAGATGGAGAAGTTGATATGCAGGGTTAGGGGAATAAGGGGGCAGAGTACCCGCCCCTCCCCAGCCTGGAGAATACCGGAGAACCAACCCAGCCAACCCTACCCCAACCTTCTGATGTAGTGCCAGCCTACAGCCCAGAGAACGAGATAGATATGCAGGAGGGGNATCTATCTATCTATCTATCTATCTATCTATCTATCTATCTATCTATCTATCTATCTATCTATCTATCTATCTATCTATCTATCTATCTATCTATCTATCTATCTATCTATCTATCTATCTATCTATCTATCTATCTATCTATCTATCTATCTATCTATCTATCTATCTATCTATCTATCTATCTATCTATCTATCTATCTATCTATCTATCTATCTATCTATCTATCTATCTATCTATCTATCTATCTATCTATCTATCTATCTATCTATCTATCTATCTATCTATCTATCTATCTATCTATCTATCTATCTATCTATCTATCTATCTATCTATCTATCTATCTATCTATCTATCTATCTATCTATCTATCTATCTATCTATCTATCTATCTATCTATCTATCTATCTATCTATCTATCTATCTATCTATCTATCTATCTATCTATCTATCTATCTATCTATCTATCTATCTATCTATCTATCTATCTATCTATCTATCTATCTATCTATCTATCTATCTATCTATCTATCTATCTATCTATCTATCTATCTATCTATCTATCTATCTATCTATCTATCTATCTATCTATCTATCTATCTATCTATCTATCTATCTATCTATCTATCTATCTATCTATCTATAGATCTATCTATCTATCTATCTATCTATCTATCTATCTATCTATCTACAAGATTATTCTATTGAAAACATACAAATAAAATAAAATAAATCTAAATATTTAAGGACGGTTTGCCTTAAAGATATTTGGTTTTTGATAATTTAAATTGTGATAATCCTTATCTACAATATTAATTTATAAAGAGATCTATATAATTATAATTTATTTATAAACAATTTACAGATTTGGGTTTACAATAGTAATTCTTTTCATTTAAAAGTTTTGGTGTCGGATTCGATAAGCTTCAAGAATTACTGAATTAAAGAATAAATTATGCATTTTGATGAATTGTACGTTTTTTAAAGTTCTAAATGTCGTTATAAATTTGCCCAGTATTATAAATAAAATAATCTTAAACAGTTGAGAAAATAATGTTGAGAGACAAACATACAAACGGACAGACAATAACAACAATCATTATAATTGTAGTTGCTCCAGCTTATACAGCTTGGGTTACTAATTGCTGGAGCAGTCCTAAACCAGAACAGGTTCAAAGACTTTGCTAATTAGCTAAGTCTTTAAACAGATACAGAAATATTTATTATGGGAAACTAATACAAAAAAATCATTTACGGTTTCTCTGCAAAATGACTTGCGCATTTGTTGCTTACCAGAAAGGCTGTAGAAATTATCAGTAATATCTTTTCCCGGCACTTAGAATTATGCTTAATGTTTAAGATTACACAATTTTTAAACACGTATTATTAGGTGAGAAATGAACAGAAACCACAGTAAAAATAATTAGCTTTGAAAGTTATCATGATTGAAATTTAATGTATTCTAGATCCGTAAAAGCTGTTAAAGGGGCTGTAAGCGTAATTTCAAGCATGCCAATACCTGATTCACAACGGTACCCTTGAAACCATTAACTAATGAAGAAGCCACAATTAAAAATAATAAGTTTTCAAAATTATAAACATTGATATGTAATTCATACTTTACCTTACAAAGTTTTTAAAATTGACAAGGCTTTTGGAATCAGGCATTGTCATCTTTGCATGGAGGGTCACTTAAAATTACTGTAACAGGAACCATTGGTTCAAATGTTATTTTTTGAAAAAGTTGCCGAGTTTGTAGGGCTGGGCACGTTCTGACTTTCTTGAAATCGTTCCGTTCCGTTCTTTCCCGTTCCGTTCCGTTCTGAGTAGAAGAACGGGCAGTAAAGAACGATTCTATCCAAGTAAAAAGTTTTTTTGGAAAAGAGTTGGTCAAAAAGTAAAAAAAATTACATTAGATTAATTTAATTTTATAATAAAAAGTTCCTCACGGGGCCGTAAATATACTTTAAATTATATATTTTAAATTTAGGGCTAAAAGAATAAGATTAGATAATTTCTGGGCCGAGCAATGTATAATTTTGTGAGAGCGGGGGTAGGGGCGGGAGTCCTAATATTCTTGTAAAAAGTACTGTAGTTAAAGGAAAAAAAATACCCGTTTTAGTTAATGTCTCGTTATAACCTAGACAAACATTATATTTATAGAATAATGCTAAGATAACTTTCTTGTGCCACATCAGACGCCTTGGAAAAGCTTGGGTAATCAACCCAAACACGGAGATAAGGGAGAGCCTGGTTTATAGAGTCCCTAACGATCTTGTTTAATTCATTTTTACATTATTAATAAAGTATTGTTTCGTGTTTATTGTGTTATAATTTAAGCGTCGTAAAGGAATTTAAAGTCATGGGATATTTATTTTAGTTCTTCATTATACGCTTTATACCGTCCTTTAAGCCTTAAGGGTACTGTTGTAAATCTGACATGCCACTCACTCTATAATTGGAAAGTTGCTTAAAATTATGTCTACAGACTCTGTGAAAATTTGTCATGTCTTTTGTTGAGAGGGAGGGAGTTTCAGGTAAAAAATCAATTTTTAATTTTGGAAAAACTATTTGTCAATATTAGGTGAATTCAATTTTAATTTTATTTCATCTTTTATAATTAATGTTACCTGAAAATAAATCTATGTTTTCTTATTGCAGCATTAAATTAAAAACAAATATGGTTCTGGGGTGCACCCATCTTTCCCCTTTCACTTGTTTTTATTTGATTTTCAGAATCCAGAATTATAACAAATAAAGCTATGAGATTTATTAGATTTATTAGTTATATTATTAGATTTTTGTTGTACACTTGATTTTCATCCAGGAGGGATGATAGTTCTCTACCTGTGTGCTCAGTTAGCTGTACTGTACACTTACAACTGTTTACTAATATTGATATACAATAGGTTAGGCCAGAATCAACTTATAATAAATTAATATGCAGTACGCTCTCGGTATAGTTGAGGGCCTATAAAAACATTGTACATCATCTCTCTATACGCTATAACCTCGTTGTTTTCATCCCAATTCAAATTTACTCTCTTATTGAAATCCATTCCAATTCCAAACCTATTTTACCTAGGGCTGGGAAGTGTCCGTAAATGAACTTTTAATTTTTAAAATGTTAACTGCACAGATTACCCGGTTTTGAAAGAAAAAAATTAACTGGTAAAAAATAAAAATAAAACGGCAGATTGCATAAAACTTGCAAAAAAAAAGTTATGTGTTTTGATCTTTTTAAATGTCGTCTTCTATGTTTTTTTGACAACTGTTAACCCGTTTATACTAAAAAAGACCATTAACAGCTGCTATATTAAAGATTTCAAAACCGTTAATAATGTGCTGTGCCATTACCGATTTCTTTAACCAATGACAATTTGTTGTTTCGCCGTTAATTCTGTAATAGACTCTTAAGGGCTGCCGTAAACGATTTAGCTATGTTCTATGTACTCATAGCAGCCAAAAGTTTTAATGAGGGATTAGCCTGAAATATGTGAACTTAAAGGTTTCAGAAATTAAAACCTATTTCTAGAGCGTTTTTGCATATTATTGCAGGATTCTTTGAACCAGCCTTTTTTAGCACTATTTTTTCATCCATTGGCAACATTTTTGATTATAATTTTGATTGAAAAAAATCAAAATTACACTATTGCTTTTCCCTCCTGGCCGGATCCCAAAAAACTAAATCAAAGAAACATATTTTAGAAATGGTTCAACTTGGTAAATAATTATTTTTTCCCGGGGTTTTATTCAAAGAATACCACGTTAAATAAGTTTTACGATAAAAATAAAATCCTTTTTCATAAAAAAAAACTCAGTCCCCCTAATATACCCTAAACTAGGACAAGTTACAAGTTAAATTTAGTCTAGTTTTAGACACCGGCGCGGGGCGTCCGTTTCTATTTTGCCTTTAAACATATTGGGAAATTTCGAAAAAGAGAATAATTTTTCGTGCACTCGCTTTGCGCACACAAAGACATTTTAGATTATGGTGTACTTAACTCCCCCTAATATTTTAATTGCAATCAGGGGCTTGCAGTATAACCAGGGGCGTACGAGGGGGGGGGCCGCGCCCCCC